CTGAATGATTTCAACACTATCACAAATCAATTATCGTCTGTGGAAATTGAATTTGATGATGAGATACGTGCACTGATCTTGTTGACTTCTTTGCCACTGCTTTTCACACTCTAACTAAACCCCCCTTTTAGGGTCAATCACAGTGCGACAGAGATGGACATTTCAATTAAATTAAGTTCTCCCCAGCACTCGACCTGACCTGCATAACTAGGACCTAGTGGATGTTGAACGAGTATAACTAAATTGTCGCAAACGTATATAATACATTTCATTTCATTATTCATTCACATTCATGATCTTAATTTACTAGAACTAAATGAAAATATGACACTAAATAGGACGCAATGGAGAAAAAGGATTCATGTAGCCGACCCCACGTAGTGGGATTAAGGCTTTGTTATTGTTGTTGTTGTTGTATGCATGTCAATTAAATTGCGTAAAAATAAAAGAGCATTTGACAGTTTGTACAACATAACATGATCATTTAATGTGATTTTAAACATTCACTATGCCTCTAACTTTATTATTTACATATTAATATCCTTTTAATCTATATACAACCGTCACAAGAGTACCGTCAAAAATTATACCACTTAAGGACTATAATAGCAATATTTTTTTCATTTACGTACAAAAATACCTTAGCGTTCCCCCGCTAGTACTATAAAAGGGTGACTCTATCATAGTCAAACATGTGCATGTGAATCTCATTCCTATTTTCTTTTCATTTCATTCAATAGCTTGAATCATGCATTCAAATAACATGCAAATATCAGTGATATAGGCTCAATATGATCAATTGAACTTAAAGAGCCAGTAAAATCTATCTAAGCAAGTCATAGGGCAAATCAGACTTAGGAGAAATCAATATTACTATAATTTAAAAGTATAAGTACTCTTCTCAATGATAGACGATGAGTCTGCTCTAAACTTGTATCTCTTCCCTCAAATTAACACCAATAAAATATAGAATATTCAATTATTACTTTGCTTAATTAAGTTTTAATTTCATTGTCTAGTATTCTTGTATTACACTACGTTAATTAAGAGTCAAAGCTTAAAGATTAAATTATTGAATTTTAATATTCATATTACTAAATACTTTTACAATTAAAATCCTAACCTTTCTTTATTTTCGACAATATTTTTCTTGATCTAAACTTGAATCTTTTACAGCATGAACCTAACAATTAAACCACACATCATCTATCTGTGCAATGGATATTTAAACTAAGTTAAAGAATTAATCTATCATTCAATATATATATATATATATATCTATTTGTGTGTGTGTGGTACATTTATTAATTTACATAATAAAAATTCTTAAACTTACCTTTATATGTTTGGTTTACCCCTCCCACACATGTAAGTGAGGTCTTTTCCTTACTTCAGCCTCAGCACGCGGCACCACGAATGAAGGGGTCTCCTTCCCCTCCGGTCTCTACATGAGAGCACCACGTGACCTCCTTCGCACCAGTGAAGCCCTTCCTCTCACAGCTATCACACAAGAAACCTTGACGCCATCTCCTCCTTCACACACAATGCAACTCGACTGTCCTTCCCGCCGCTCCTCTTCTTCCTCTACACGCAAGCGACTAGGGTTCAAGTCTTCTTCTTTACTTTACACCGAAGTTGCTTGACGATCACGCATGCAGGTAAACCTTCAATCTTCTCCTCCCACGACGTCGTTCGCACCGTAGCAATGTATGTAGGATTTGGCAAGGTTGCATATAAGTCATCTCACAAGCTATCTTCCTCTTCCTTTTTCTCTCTTGCTTTTGGCTTTCTCCCACTCTATCTCTTGTGCTTCTCCCCTCTAATTCGAATCGGAGAAAAAGTGCAAAAATACCTGTTTTAATGCTTCTTTTCACTAGGGTTGTCTCTTTCAAAGAGACATTTTTTTATTTATTTTTATTATTATTATTATTATTATTATTATTATTATTATTATTATTATTATTTTACTGGTTATTACACATTGTTCATTATAAAATGATAATGAAAGATATGAAAAATATGAATAAATTAACCATAAGAAAGTGATTGCATATGCATGTTAACAAGTAGAATTCACACACTTATGGAATTAGTTGGAAATGCTAAGGTACTATAGATAAAATTGAAAAGTGATATTGCATTGAAGTATTTTAAATGATACAATTTAAGAGAATCTATTATGATATAGGTAATATATAAAAATCAAACTATCAAGATATGATACAGTTTCTTCTTATTAATCTTAGTGAATGTTCAACAACCCTTGCATTGATATTATTAAATAAAATAAAATGACAGATAAATTTAAGAAGCATATGTTACCTTCTATAGTCCTTAATATCACATTAATTTAGACATGTGATGTATCCACTGAGTTATGTTAATAAGTCATCATTATTTTGCATTAATAATATTAGAATAAGACCTCAAGAAAGAAATAAATAGGAGAAGCAAATTTGTGTATTATTAGCGAGATGCTGTGAAAGAACGGTACTCAATTTAGCATAGTTATTATATAGTTGGTTTAGAAGAAACATAATAAAATAGTGACTTTTTTGTTGTATTAAATGTTGACGTGCTAAGAATGTTTATAAACTTTACTTAGACATTAACCTTAGAGTTAATGGTAATGTTTATAAATCTATTCCCGCCATAATAATTATAACCTTTTAGGTTCGGTCGTGACATATAAAGATTCCATCTTAAGGCACAAACCGTCAAAGAACTTTATCAAACATTATATGTCAAACATAATTGAATCAACAAGATAGCCTTTTCATCCGCCTCTACTTTTACTTCTTCAAACATGGTCTCAAACAAATTGACATGCCTCATAAGTGGCTTCCTAGATCCTTGCTAGATTAATACACCATGCATTGATTTCTTTAAAAGCCAAAGTTATTTGATCTATCGAACTTCTCATCTCAAATTTCATTGAAATCAATCTAAAACCATGTTATAATGCTAATTTTTTTATAACTAAAGGCACCAAAATATATTGCAAAACTGCTAGTAAAAGCGATAACAATGATATGAAGTAAACACAAATGAGAAAAAGAAAACATAAACAAAGATTTATGTAGTTGGCTTCAACCAAGCCTATATCTACGAATACACAGAGTGATGGTGATTCCAATGTGTTAAAAAGTACATGATGGTTACTTCTTAATTCTCTTTGTTCTATCTCTCAATTCTTAAATTTCTCTCGTTTTATTCCGTCCATCAATCTATTTAACTAAAGCCAAAAATCAAAAGCCCAATTGACAATAAAATTTTATATCTCACTATAAAGCATGTAGTGCCTGTGTCAATTATTGCTCACCAATTATTGCTCCATCAATCTTTGAGCACATGAACTCTCTGCTTCATCAAGTTTGCCAGCTGCAATGCCATAGTGACAATCATCGATACAGCTTACTAAGTTGTTGTGACAACCTACTCATGTTTTCTATCAAAAGAATAGTAGAAGGAACTCAATTTTCAAAAAGGTTTGTGCTTCATGATTCAACTACAAGATAGACATGTATATTCATAAAGATAAAGGCAAAGTTGGATAACTCTATTGTCTCTACTAAGCAAAAGGATCTCCAACAGAGTAGTTTGACAGAATTACAATATGAAATAAATTAAAAATCATATTCATAATGTATAGGGAACTAATCTTCAAATTTAATAGAATATACAAATCAAATAACTTCTGTATACTCCCAACGAAAAATAATATTTTTACTTCTTCTTTTTCAATCATTGCCTACCTCATAAAACATAACTAATATTATCCTCAAATTGATTTCCATCCTCACGTAAAGCTGCCGCATTTTTCACCTGCTTTCCAATTCTATACTTCTTCTATAAACTCTGATATCAACATTTATTATTTTGTTCTTTAAAAGATCGAAATCTAATGTCAACGCACTGCATTACCAGTAAACTTATACTCTCTTGGCGTTGGTGTTTATCACATTTATCAAGCAAAAGATTGCCAGCCAAACCTTCCCCAAGATACCAATCCACCAAAATCATACTTCCCACCAGAATTGAGAATCAACACGACAGAATATCACGCATTGAATAAATAAATTCCGAAACCTTAGAAATCAATCAAAAACGAAAGAAAGAAAATAAAGGAAGACGAAAAAAAAATTACTGGAAAAATCAATCAAGCAGCGCCATTAAGGAACCAAAAGTAACGTCTTCCAATTTGAAATCCCAGCACCCACACCTAAAACTCCCTTAAACAATAGCCAACTTGAATAAAGAGCAGTGGTAATCACTAAAAGGCTCGGTAAAATATTAAAATCCAATGAAACTTCAAGCATATGACACATAATAAGTACTCTATTCGCAATGTCTCCATCCGGAATCAAGGGCATGGACACTGTCAACAAGATTACCAACAGAAACCAAGATCTCGGCTAAATAAATAAAATGATCAATGCTTGGATGATTGGATCCAACTAAGTCCGGAGAACAAGATGACAAACCTAGCAATGGTCGCAGCCACCAATACCACTAAATCCCGAACCAGTATGTTGATCCCTGACTCCCAACCGAAGAGAGCGAAGCAACGCCGCCTCGGTATCTTCTCCTCCAGCGCCAACACTTCTTTTACGGTGGTGCTAAGTTAACGGAAGTCAGTCTCCCGTCACAGGTAAAACAAGTTCGATCTCTTGCAGGAGCTAAAAGCCAATCCTTACGGCGGCCGCTTCGCCAATAAAAGGGGCTAGGTACAGACGAGCCGGATAATGGAGCTAGTCTCAACTCTCAAGCACCGTGCATGCGCTCTAATGGTGGACTCCGTGAGTTTTTTAATATCTATTCTTGCCGTATGCGCTCATCCGACGCACCGTGCTAACAAGAAGCGCATGCAGTTCAGAAATAGCTCTCAATGAGCCAAGGTCAAACAACGTTGTTGCAGCGAAAAATGAGGGCTCTGCAACTAGCTTGAGTTTTAGCCCTACGATCTGACGCTTGTCGATAATCGGAATGCTTCTCAAAGCTTGCACTGGTGTGGATAGTGCCCCCAGATCAGTGCCTACGTGGAAGATACATGTTGATCGAGTATGCGTTTTGTACGTTGAAGATATCAGGGGATTTGTAATGAAGAAATTGTCATTAATCTTTAGCCAAGTGTTCATCCACCATCAATTCCGGGTGGATCAGCGCTGTGCCACCTTGATGGTGGCGAGTCGCAGGTTAGAACTATAAAATTGGGGTATGTTGCGCCTAAGGAGTATTGGACGTATCCAGAGCGAATAACAAAAAGGGTTTCCTGATTGAGACTGACGATTGAAATAATCAATCCTACATGTAATAAAGTAATCTTTATAGAATGGACTTATAGAGATTTGGTAATTAGTGCATTTATGAGTGGTTGAGCTTGAACGTAAGAAAACCAACGATAACATGAAAAAAAATTAATGGAAGAATTTTAATAACTTTGATTTGATACTTTTCGGTTCAAATATTAAATGGTTGTTTAATTCATTGTATTGAATTCTGATTTGTCCCTAAATCACACCTCAAGGATTAGAATGCAAGACCGAAGAGAGAGAGGAATATGCAGCAATTAACAGTAAAACGCATTTTTCATAACCTTTTCTCATAAAATGGTCATATATTTATAGGAAAAATGATACAATATGTGAAATTATATGTCTGTCTCTGTTTTAAGAGGGCATTATAAGATATTTTAGGTATATTTACTTATGTAAGCCTAAGGCTTAGTTACCATGTGACTCAATCGGCTTAACTCGATGGGCTTAGTTCAACAAGGTCATCTCTGTTTGACTATCAATGTTGTCAGTCGGCCTTAGATGGTCTTTGGGAATGAAGGGCTAACTCGATTTACTTTTCTTTATTAATCGGTTATTCTAGTATGACTGTCAACAATTGATCCCCGGTAAGGTACTCCAGTTGTTTGAGCAAAGCTAAGCTATCGGGCAAAGAGTGAGTCATTGTATCCTGATAAGTAGCTCGCTTCCAACAAGGACAATCAACGGGATGATGGTTAAGCTTTTGTCTCTAATAAGGAGCCTCTAAGGTGTCTTGAAATGACAGATGGTATTGAGGAAGTGAGTCTTTCCTTACATTTGGACTCAAACCATCTGAACGTCTGGTTGGCTTTGGCTTTGGCTATGGTTGTGATAAATGGGCCCCCTAGTCTTCTACTAGCGAGCCCACCCTAATTATACTTTTTGTCTACTGCATCGTTGGATCTCCTCGAGATTCATGCTGATGCATTCCTGATGTACATAGTCTAATTCATCGATTCTCTTACTTCATGAAAGCAACGACTGCAATAAGAATAAAATAATTAAATACAAATATGGATATCATCGATTCTCTTACTTCATGAAAGCAACGACTGCAATAAGAATAAAATAATTAAATACAAATATGGATATCATTTATGTCACAATCAAAGCGTCAATAATTAAATTTCTTGATTTTTTATGGCCATGATTCCTATAAATGGGGTGTGATGAATTAAATACAAATATGGATATCATTTATGTCACAATGAAAGCGTCAATAATTAAATTTCTTGATTTTTTATGCCCATGATTCCTATAAATGGGGTGTGATGAGACTCCTTTGGTATTTTATATTTGTTATGTCTCTTCACCTAAGTTGGTTAGCATCCTAACGCTTCATGACAAACATTTTGAAATGTTTTAATGAGATCCTTAGTAGGAAAATGATGATGACTGATGAGGGATTCCGGAAAATTGATATTAAATTAATAATAATGATGCAATGTAACCCAAACAATGATGTAACTTTAATGAAAATAATTTATCTTTAAAAGCTCTTTTAAAGTCCCAATTCCCTTTTACATATAACGCAAGTATATGTATCTTTCAAGTAATACAGAGCTCCAATGGAGTCCTATACATCGATCCCACATGGAAGCTGGAAATATATATAAGCTAATTATTTATATTCTATTATAAACTAAAAATAAAAACAAAATAAAGTACGAAGTTTGAAGTTAAACTACTTAAGTGTAATGCTACTAAATATGCAGATGTACGACTGTAACAAGTAAATTAAACTAGATGTTAAATTTTCAAAAGTAAATTGCTGAAATAAAATGAAGGTTTTTGTTGACGAAAAGTTCAAGAATGAGAAAACATCCTTCCACTTTACAATGACAAAAGTAAATTGCTGAAATAAAATAAAGGTTTTTTTTTACGAAAAGTTCAAGAATGAGAAAACATCCTTCCCCTTTACAATGAAAATATGGCTTTTTTTGAAAAATGAAAAAAAATTTGAAAAATATATTTAAAAATAGTTTTGTGCCAAATAGGAGCAATCCTATTCTCTACCCTCTTCCGAGCGCTATAAAGAACAATGACTAATCCAAAGTTTGGTCCCTAATTCCGTGGTTAGGCTAGGAGGATATCGGCTTTCACTTTAGAGTCACTTGAGGGCTAACATGCTCGTATTAGTTTCCAATCAGCCGAACCAAATTGGGGATTCTAATCTATCACCTTAAAATCTTCCAATTCTATATCCAACGAAGTATATTTCCCTATTTATTTGCACCCAACATCATTGATGAAATACTTTCTCATGAAATCAAATGTAATTCTCCATTTTTTGTAGAAATCATATCACCATTTCAGAACATATATTTCACAACACATTTTAACAATTCAATTGACCAGATAGAAAAATAAATGAAGGTTAGAGTTCAAATCATCACAAATTATTGACAATTAAAATCATAGAAAACAAAATCAATTCTTCACAAAACCATTTCTTCAAAGTAGGGAGAAGGATAAAGAAGACTACTCAGAATTCATGAGAATGATACGATAAAACACAGATTTCATATATGAAAATAAGTTTATAAACAAAAGAAATGAAAAATATAACTTAACTCACAATCCTTCCCAAGCAAATTCCTAGAAGTTCTCTCAAAGTCTTTCCCTCTTTACAATCACTCTTAATTCTCTCTTAGAAATGTAATGAAGAAGAAATCTCTCACATTCCATCTCCTCTTACAACACTAGAAAAAAATCTCCTCTTCTCTCTCTCTCTAACTCACACCAATTCTCTCTCTCTCCCTCTCGTCACATTTTTAGAAGTCCCTCTTTCTTTTGGGCTGCTTCCTCTGAAAAGTCTTTCAATTTCTCTCCAAAATTCAAAAGTTAAAACTTTGAATTTCAAAAGATGTGCCTCTTTGATCCAAGAGTCAAATCCCCTCAAATTGGAACCTTCCATAGTGTCTAAATGCATT